GGTAGATTTTGATCTTTATTACCTTAATAAAAATGGTAATTACAATTCTTATATCCAAAAAAATTAGTGTGACTCAGTAGATATTCCAAATACCTTTTAAACGAGGTGTCGCTTGCCATAACGTCCCATTTAAAGTTATTAAACATCGTGACGAGTAATATTATCTATAACTATTGCGTCACCAGTTACCACTAGTAAAGAAGCTTCAACCGTTTATTTTAAGGCGAGAGAGGACTTTTGAGTATCACTGTATAAGAAAAATAATCAAAAAATAGCAATACTACATGTTGAAATACTTGAGACTATTATCGTTAAAAAGTTTTTGGTACATTGGTGTATTTCCTGCAACTAAATGCTTAAATGAACTAGATTTTCGCTGGCAATTAATGGCTTTTTGATATGTAAAATACATATATTACTTCCCAATAAAAAAAACTAGTAAAATTTATGACATAATTTGTTAACATTGCTTTCTTTGCAAGCGGCTATATAATTAAGATTAATGTTTCCTTCCTATTTTTTTTATAGTTTGGCCAAAATATTTTTGTTCAGGCTTGTATTTGAATTAACTAATATTATACAAGGAGGCCAGACGAAAACATACCAAAGCCATTATCACGAACATTTTAAACAAACTCTCGTCAATACAATTTATGTATAGAAAATACCAACGTCATTGAGAAGGTAATTGTACGAAGAGCTCAGTAAGATCACTATACATTGCATTACTTTTAATCAATAACTTGAAATTATATTGCTACGAAGGTATTTGGTATCTCAATTTATCTCAACTTTTACAATAACTATACAACTGATAAGAATAACGTATAACGACTTTCATAAAAGTGACTTCTGACGTCAGAATCCTCGACTTATATAGCTCGCCTTAACCTTCTAGACTCTTCTCGAATAATCCAGATTTTTCTTGACAAGGAATGACATTTCGAAACATTTATATCTTCTTCTTTCACTCGTACTTTTACTTATGATGACCGCAGCACACTGTAGAGTGATGGGTGATATTGCACTTCTTTTTTTAATTGTACATTTCCTATAACAGCCGCAGGCCACTGCAGGGTAAAGGGTAACAATATTAATAAATTCAGTGGTAGTGATATTTGCAATACATCCTTTTCCTTCGCGAATCATATTATTTAAGGAGGTCCTTTCGCCACACCTCTCGCCTCAAATGTTAAAAAAAAAGTTATTAGATTATGACTAAAATTAATTTTTTTCTAATAGTTGAAGTCCTTATTTATCTAATACTGAACTTTTAACTATACCTTACCTTGCAAATTTTTGAGAATTTTTTTTTTAAAAATGTGAGTATTTGTACAGTGCCTCACGAGAAAGTAAGTCCTCAACAACAATTCTCGAATTATACTATTATTTATTGATTAGATGGAGTAGAAAAAAACTAAAAATAAGGTTTTTGAAATATTTAGATTTTGTTTTATACAATAAAATATATATAGTAAACCGTGGAACTTAATGAGAAATTAATATTAAAAAATCACAAAAAATTTTCAAGTAACCTAGTTGAAAATTTTTTGTGATTTTTTTAATAATAATTTCTCAATAAATTCCACGGTAACCTATATCTTTTATTGAAAAAAACAGAACCTACATATTTCAAAAACCTTATTTTTAGTTTTTTTCTACTCCATCTAATCAATAAATAATAGTAAAATTAATTATAATTCGAAAATTGTTGTTGAAGTCTTACTTTCTCATAAGACACTGTACAAACACACACATTTTTAAAAAAAAAAATTCTCAAAAATTTGCACGGTAAGGTATAGTTAAAAGTTCACTATTAGATAAATAAGGACATCTACTATTAGAAAAAAATTAATTTTGTCATAATCTAATATTTTTTATTTAACATTGGTGGCGAAAGGACCTCCTTAAACTAACCATACAGTATATTTCTATCCTTGCAAAGAAAGTATTAGAATGAACTTATTAAAGATCGCTGAAATCCATAAAGTACCTACTAATTAAGATTTTAGCTAAATGAACAGATACAAACTACAGAAAATTATTCAATCTTTCTGAACCCACATAAATAGTAATTTAATCTACCCCATATTCATACCTATTATTATTCATTCATTGCTTTTTTTGGATCTTACTCTCTTTTTAATTTCACAATTTGGTATTAAAGCTACTTTTTCTTAAATCCATTTGTCAGTAGCCTTGTTTCATTATTTTTTTCTAGCCACTTTCCGAATATTTACTTTTAATTGTGCACAATCCCTGATATCCTGACTTTTCTTCTTTCGTGAGTTTTAGTTTGTTATTTAAAAACAAATGTAATACTTATATAATTTTCATTACTTTATCCTTTCGCTAGTTTTTTCAATGTATTTCTTTTAATATGTAATATTCAAATTGTTATCGTCAAAATGCTGACAATGGCAGACGACGTATATCATTACCTTCAAGCTTTTTTTTATATTAAAATCAACACTATATATTGTGGATATCTAGTAAATCTGGAAGAAAATCAAAGAGATTTGGCAAGCTATTTGAGGCGGGCCAAATCAACCTTTATTTTGGTGCCTTGATTACGAGAAAATTGCTAGTTTTTGGATTACAGTCCGAATTAAAAATTTAACATTATTTTTGGTTCCTTTTTGGTTTTAATTTTTTTACGCTGGTATCGGCTCGAATTTTCTAGTTTGGATAACCTGGTTTTTGGTTTGGATAGGTGGTTTTTAAAATGGCGAGCGCTTGTTTTGATTTCTTGTGGCACCTTTTTCGGCTTTTTTTTTTGAAATATATCAGGTAATTCGAGTGTTTTATTATTCAATCGTGTTTAGTGTAGTGTGTGCTATGATTTGTGCAAAAAATCGCGGTTCTAAAACTTTTTTCTTTTGTTTTCGGAATTTTGGGGCCCAGATTCGTCTTCCAGGAGCCCTATTCGACGTGCCGCAGGTGTTTTTGTGTGTATTTTGATTCGCAATAAATTTTGAAACGTTTTTTCTGTTTTTTTTTACTCGCACGCGCGTGTAGCACCCTCTCCCCCTCCAGCCCCCGGCTAGACGTCGTGCGACCCGATACTAAAGGTGCTCCCCACGAAGAAATATTTTTAATCCCCCCTCTCCCGCAGATTTGGTTACCTCTCGCCTACAGGTTATGATTAATTTTAGAGAGGTTATATTTGACATGGTCGTACTCTCTTTGGGTCAATGATTTTTTTTGTATAGAACGATTTTTTATTTTAAAATTTTGATAGAACATGGCTTGGACTAAAAATATCGTCTGACTGCCATGTTTGTTTATGTCGTATTACGCTATTATACGATTTTTCGGTTACGAATCGATTGTTTTGATGTCGATTGTCTTTAGATTTCGATTTAATTTGACATTTGTTTATATATTCGAAATGGGGCTCTAACAATTATATATTATGTTCTTGATTTTGAGCTAAATTATTAATAAAACTGGTGTATTTAATATTGTTTTAATAATTTCTATAATCTTTCTTCGTGTTTGTTTTGTTTTTTTAGAGTTTGGTCATCCAGCGATAATCTAAGAGTGCTTGTGTGTCCTATTTGGTAGGCTGTAGTTAGTACTGATGGAGCTGCATATAATAAATAGTGTTTTTTTATTATAAAAATATTTTAAATATATATTTTATTCTCAATGACGTTTTAAATTATTTAATATTTCACTTTTAGACGATTTTAGGTAGCTATGTAATATATAATAGTTTATAATATCCTGGTTTTTTTATCCTTTTTATCCTTTAATTAATGAACCTCCACTATATTTCGATCATATCTCAAATAAAATGGGCTTTAAATTTTTTTATCTCCACCCACCTCTCGGAGAGGTGTTCTTTTCAAAAAAAAATTATGTTCCAAACTGTTGATATTTATGAAGTTTCAGGTCCTGGAATACCTAAGAATGTTATGAAAAGAAAGAAAATGCCCTTTAAAATTTTCTTTTATTTTAACTCAAAAAATTTCGTGTAGGGCAATTTGGGTCTGGAAAAGCCGAAAATGACCTCGAAATTTTTTTAGGGCTTCTCAGTTTTCTCGTAGGGCCCCAAAATCGCTCGAAAATTTTTAGATTAAGTAATAAAAAAATTTTTGGTCCAGAATTTACATATTTTTAGTAAAATCCTCTAAGTCTCTCAAACGATATTAGGAAGTTCAAAATATTTTTTTATAACTTATATACTCTAATAAACGAACCCCCACCATATTTCGGTCATATCTCGAATAATATAGGCTTTGAAATGGTTTATCTGTACCCATCTTCCGGAGAGGTCTTCTTTCCGAAAAAAAATTATTTTCCAAACGCTCGACTAATTATGACATTTCAGGTTGTGGAATACCTGAGAATATCATAAAAAAAAAGAAAATAGCCTCAAAAAGTTTGTGCGATTTTTCCTTTAGAAGTTAGACTCACTTTTTCGCGCCTTTTTTTGGTGCACGTGGTCATAAAAACTCAAAAAACTTCCTATAGGGTAATTTGGGTCTGGAAAAGCCGAAAATGACCTCGAAATTTTTTTAGGGCTTCATAGTTTTCTCGTAGGGCTCCAAAATCGCTCTAAAACTCACTTTCGGCCCCCTATCTCGTTCCACATGAGCCCTATCTGTTTTATATGGTCATTTTCGTTTTTTCCAGGCCGAAATACCCTATGATGAATTTTTTCAAATTTTTAGATTAAGTAATAAAAATTTGAAGTATATAATAAATGTTATTTATTATTTTATACAAAAAGCATCATTGTGAGTTTATGCTTAATTGTTAATGAAATAATATTAAATTATAATACCTACCCTTAACCTCGATTATGTTACATTTGTGTAATCCAGTCACAAAAGATATTCCTAAAAATACAAGTACCTATGTAAGAAGCTTATTCTGGGTCATTCCAATTGACGTTAAATGTATTTGTGGTTGATCTCTCCAAAAAAGACATCCAAACTCAAATTTTTGCTTAATTAACACATAATGATTATTTTGACTAAATGTAATCTTACCTGATTTAATAGATTCCTTTTCGTCATCTTCATCACTATCGATATGCGGTATCGATCCGACAAATTCGAACATCGGACTAGTCTGTATACAAGAGTCTTTTTTAAGGACTTGATTTTCCGGTAATCTACAAGAACACTGACACGCGCAAGACATGACGTCGTCCTCCTGTCTATCCAGAGGCAGGTACTGGTGACACTGAGGACACGGAAACGTCAAATCGTCTAAAGGCACTCTCCTAATGGCATGTTCGACGGACACCAGTAAGTTCTGGAGCATTTCCGGTAGTTCTGTGCCATCGTAGTCGTCGTAGGAGGTTATCTCGAGATCCGCGATGGATCTGAAATAACAGACATAAATTGATACGAATGATAATGCAATTAAAGAGCAGATTTGATACAAGCGTCGTAGAAATATCAATGATATTGAACAAATTAGCAGAGCGTTAAAGATATTTGACAAAATTAACAGAGCAATCGAACTTTTAAGAAGTAATTAATAAAAAAGTTTAGTCATTAATAGATTAGTTTTTCGTTGAAAGTAATACACAAACTATTTTCATAGCTAGTAAAATGGAAGCGCTAAAGTTCATTAAAGTTTTACAATTAAATACTACAAAGTGAATTTTCATGCAGAAATTGTTACGCCTTCGGACAAGAAGCATATTTTATTGAAGGAACGAAACAGTGTTTTTGTGCTAGTATTTTAATAGTTGTTTTATTGGGATTTACGTGTTGGATTTAATAAAATAAATAATTTAAATTAGATTTATAAAGCTTTCTGTACCTTTTTTGAACTTGATTCTTCACTATTCAAGTATTTTTGTAAGGGTTGCAAATTATTTAATATTATATTAAAATTTGTTGGGTATCTTAAAATGTTCCAAGAAAGGGGCACACTGTCCACGAAATATTCTAAGATACCCAAGATATTATAATTTGCATTCAATAATTCTCAACCAAAATGGTGATGGTATTTGTCAGATGATTAAAGATTTAAAGATTTCAGGACTCTGTAGATTTTTGAGTTCTTAATTAAGGATGCTTATCGAATCGGAAGTAATAAGTAATTACCTTGGTAACTACATTTTTTGTGGATCACTTTATATATGTACTGAAGAAAGTTCAAACAAGGTAATACAATTTTTTAAGAACCAAATCACATGAAAAGCTTACTTATAAAACTGGCTGTGTCTACTTTTTATTCATTTTTTTTTAATTTTCATCTTTACCTTCATGTCTATCGACTAGTAAAGCAATACCGATTCAGAACCGGCTATATTAATATAAAAATTTCATTTGAATAGTGGGTTTTGGAGCAAAATCGACCAAATCCGTGTTTTGTGGCAAAACCGGCTGTGTCCAAAAAGTTCTTTATCTGTATACAGATAGGAAAGTAAAAAGGAAAAATGTGCGGACCTAATATAGAGCTAAGGCAGACACGATATACCGGAAAAAAGAAAGAAAAATTTTACTAACCTTATGGCTGAGGCATTTGAAAAAGTGTGGGAGAAAAGTCCTGACTTAGAATAGTATAGCAACCTGCTAGTTCCTCAAGAGGAAGCTAACGAGGATAAAACTATCGTCGAAAGTAGAGAACATTGTGATTGTCTTTATGAGGAGCCTGCCGTTTTAATATGAAAGCATATTTTCATTAGTTATTTTTTCCACTATAATATAAATGTGACTTAGTTTTTAATATTTTCAAGAAATAAAGGTTTTTCTGCATTTATGCATGTTTTGAAGCAAAATCGGCTATATCCATTCCAAAGTATTTTTTAATATTAAGTTTGTACAAATGAAGTTATGTCTAATTAATGAACTAAGAGGGCCAGTTTACCAAAATGAACATAGCCAGTTTTGCACGCAAGCTCCTCTACATTGTTTTATTGAATTCAACATCTAAACTTCAAATAAAACACTAGTAGAATACCAAGTAGAGATGCAAAAAACACAGAAGATAAAAAAATTGTTGGTCACTTACCTGAGGTTCGAACACATTATGTCATCTAAAGATTGAGTAGAATCGCGAAAATGAGCTATGGTGTGGCAATGAAGTTCGTGATCTTGCCTCCAAAATAGGGTAACTTCTAAACCAGTGGCACTTCGGTTTCGAACACAAAGGTAGCAGTCTCTATTTCTCACATTGGAGGGATCGAGCGGACCTAGGTGTACCACTACACCGGATTTGCCAAGGCACAAGGGCCATCCTGTAGGTATGGAGGTGTCGCAATTGTGACCATACTGTAAATAAAAGACATTTATTAATATTTAATGTTTGTATAGTAATTAAATTATGTTCAAATTCTTATAAAGTATGTTTTTCATGCCAGAATTCGACTATCTTTAAGAAATAATATAATAATAATGTTAATAATAATGATAATAATATGATACCAGATCTAAAAGAAATTTGATAACTAACTTTATATATACTGGATGTCCCTGCTAAAAGTACCTACGTACAATACAAAATGTATTTACAGAGTTACCATAAGAATTGATTTTTGTCTTAATTAACCCACGTAGCCAGGCGAAACATGGATGATGCAGAAAAATATAGAACTATAGTTATTGCCACAAAACTGATTTGACAATATTTAAAACAAATTAGTAATTAAATAAGAATGTGACTAAAAAGAGTTTTGTATTATACTGTAGTAGGTACGTTGCCAAATATGAAAGAAAGAAGAAAAATCCAGAACAAATACAATTTATAGAATGTAGGAGATAGTAAGTAAGTTAATAAATATCTAGTATGCAAATATTTATTATGAATGTTATCAAGTTAAAGAGATTAACAAAAATGTATAAAATTAATCAATAAAATTAAGAAAACAAAAAAAAATAATTTGCTTTACTTATTAATTAAAGAGAAATAGTCGTATCCTAAACCTCCAACTTCTTATATATCTAGTGACACAAGGATAAGAACAATAAAAAAGAGAAGAGAAAAAATAACCAATCCCCTTAACCTTCCGTTAGTCGCGTGTTTCTGGTAGATACATGAAGTGCTTTTATTTACCCCTCTCCGGTAGTTTAGGCGCCGACTACTCCCACCATTCCAGTACCAAAATCGAACAAAAATGTTATTTTATTATCAAGTATGCATTTTGATGATACAATAGACAAATAAACAACAGAAACTGGAGATCATAACATTTTATAATAAAACTAAAGGTGGACTGTGGACAGAATGTGTGCAAGCTATAATGTTGCCCGGAACACAAAACAAAGTGAAAAGTAGAAAAAGTTTTTACATGATCTGGCAAAGCAGTTAACCGAACCTGAGATCCAAAGACGACAATTGACAAACGTAGAAGTTCTGCCGGATGCTGATCCTGAAAATATCCTTGCTGCTGTGCTACACGAAAATGAGGATGTACCCAGAAAAAGAAAAAGATGTCCGTGCTATTTACAAACAAAAACATCCCGTCTCACAAAATTTTTCTGTGTAAAATGTTCAAAACCTTTGTGTCTTGATCACTTTAAAAGTATTTGTAAAGATTGTATGCCTGGGCAAATAATGTAAATATTTATGAATAATTTGATTATTTTATAATTATGTTTATTCCTATTTGTTTTGTAGAGCAAAAATGTTCAAATAAAACAGGTTTCTAATTTTTTGTATTATTTCAAACCCTAAAAACGATAATGTATCTATCAGATACATGCGCGACCAATCCCGAATGCTTTTTGACACAACTAGCGGAAGGTTAAACTGCTGTCTGCCTTTCCGTATAAACCAAGACCAACGACTTTTAACACCCAATATATTATAAGACCACCTAATCCGCTTTGCTATTAATCATTTAGTCTATTTATATTCATAACTTCTTAGAAACATGCGAATGTTCTCTATAATGTCCTTAAAGTCACTCAGAAACAATGAAAATTAACATCGACCATATCGCATATCTACCACACAAACACACCAAAACTAAATTTGGATTTTTCTTTCCTCTTGCAATTTAACATTGAATGGAGCATGAAGGTTACCTTTGCAAATTTTTGACTGAGTGCAAGGACACATTTTGCAATACGATAAATTTCAATAAATTTGCATAATTAACATATGCTCTGCCTGACCTACAAATCCTATTTTGTGGTTCCGTATTATCCATTTTTTGTTCATTCATAACCAGTTTATGACGTAAAACTGTGCTTATTGCATCACAGAAAGCATAAATCTTGGGTATACAAAAGAAGTAATTTCAATTTGACCATTTATGTCTTTGTGAAGGTGAGAAAATTAATAAAACAGCTATAAATTATGAATTTATGTGTGAAATTCGAATGAGATTACTAGCTTTATCATTTCTATTAGTGGATATAATCTTTTATTTTGGTTCTTAAATGGATTTATTGTAATAAATCAAATTGTACAGTAGATAAATCTGTAATACGTAACAGTATTCAGATCATACCTTTGAAATTAACTTGAGAATAGAAAATGAAAACATGGAACAAGTCTCCAGTTATTATGGATACGTAGGAAGAATAATTGACAGTGCTGCGAGTAATGAAGATAAAATAAACAATAAAATTACACACTTGAAAAAAGAAAACATTATAATGGTTGTAGAAATTAAACAAATCAAGAAGAATATGGAAGATTTATGAAAGAAAAACATAAAAGGTAAACATGGAAAACATGTTATCAGAGGTTTTTGAAATTGGTTATATAAATTGATTCAAAAACTTAAGAAATAAAGAGATTTAAATTTAAAAGAATTTAGAATGAAAACAAAGAAAGTAAGATAAAGAGATAGAGATAAAGAAGAGTATCAAAACTAGGCGATAGAAACAACTAAAAAGTTTGATAATTAGTAAAATGTAAAAACAACATAGAGTAAGAAATCTAAAATAAAATATAAAAATGTATACTGACATGTATTGTTAATGTAGTTGATAGTTGTTAATGTTAGACAGAATTAATTTATTAAATATAATTTTAAAGTTGAGTAGATTAGTTCTATAAAATTTATTTTTGATTGCATTGGGTATTAAACGTCCAAAATCCATCACTAATTTGCGAACATTTTAAAGTTTCTACATTTGTCCCTTAATAAAATAAGCTTTATTAAAAGAATAATTTATAGTTCTTAAAATTACGAGCTAAACATTCTTAATATTTTAACTAACAACCGTTGCTATAATCTAATAGCAACTGTTAAAAAATTACGAATAATATTTTTTTTACCAATCATTTAAAATATATTTATTGTACCTAACATCATGTATATCCTTAAAATACTCGCCATATCTAATAATTATTTATTCAAACCCCATGCATTGTAAAAAATAAAATTCATTTATTGCACATATATTTAGCAAAAAAATTGTAACTTATTCCGACTCTGGAATACCAGGAATCAAACCTACAATTTACAAATATACAAGTTTAAACTGCATATAATCCATCTCAATTAGCACATAAAATCACTTGAGTTCAACAAAAGATTAATAATAGTTAAAAAATAGTTCGAAAATAGTCAACAATAGTTCAACAATAGTTCAACAATAGTTCAACAATAGTTCAACAATAGTTCAACAATAGTTCAACAATAGTTCAACAATAGTTCAACAATAGTTCAACAATAGTTCAACAATAGTTCAACAATAGTTCAACAATAGTTCAACAATAGTTCAACAATAGTTCAACAATAGTTCAACAATAGTTCAACAATAGTTCAACAATAGTTCAACAATAGTTCAACAATAGTTCAACAATAGTTCAACAATAGTTCAACAATAGTTCAACAATAGTTCAACAATAGTTCAACAATAGTTCAACAATAGTTCAACAATAGTTCAACAATAGTTCAATAACAGTTCTATAATAGTTCAACAAAAGTTAAACAATAGTTCAACAAAAGTTTCATACTAGTTCAGAAACAGTCAACAATAATTCAACAAAAGTTCAACAATGGTTCAGCAATAGTTCAACAATGGTTAACAACAATTCAACAATAGTTTAACAACAGTTCAGAATAGTTCAACCATAGGTCAACAATAGTTCAACAATAGTTCAACAATACTTCAACAATAGTTTAACAATATTTCAACAATAGTACGACAATAGTACGATAATAGTTGGACAAAAGTTGTACAATAGTTCAACAATAGTTAAACGATAGTTCAACAATAGTTCAGCAATAGTTTAAAAATGGTCAACAACAATTCAACAATAGTTTAACAACAGTTCAGACTAGTTTAGAATAGTTCAGAATAGTTCAGAATAGTTCAGAATAGTTCAGAATAGTTTAGAATAGTTCAGAATAGTTCAGAATAGTTCAGAATAGTTCAGAATAGTTCAGAATAGTTCAGAATAGTTCATAATAGTTCAGAATAGTTCAGAATAGTTCAGAATAGATCAGAATAGTTCAGAGTAGTTCAGAATAGTTCAGAATAGTTCAGAATAGTTCAGAATAGTTCAGAATAGTTCAGAATGGTTTAAAATAGTTCAGAATAGTTCAAAATAGTTCAACAAAACTTCAACCATAGTTCAACAATAGTTCGACAATAGTTCGACAATAGTTCGACAATAGTTCAACAATCGTTTAACAATAGTTCAACAATGGTTCAATAATAGTTTAACACTAGTTCAAAAATGGTTCAACCATGGTCCAACCATGGTCCAACAATAGTTCAAAAATAGTTTAACAATAATTCAATAATGGTTCAAAAATAGTTAAACAATAATTTTACAATAATTTCACAATAATTTTAAAATAATTTTGGAATAGTTCTACAACAGTTCAACAATAGTTCAAAAATAGTTCAAAAATAGTTCAACAATAGTTCAACAATAGTTCAACAATAGTTCAACAATAGTTCAACAATAGTTCAACAATAGTTCAACAATAGTTCAACAATATTTTAACAATTGTTCAGTAATAATTCAATAATATTTTACCAATAGTTCAACAATAGTCCAACAACAGTTCAACAATAGTTTAACTAATAGTTCAACAATAGTCCAACAACAGTTCAACAATAGTTTAATAAATAGTTCGACAATAGTTTAACATTAGTTCAACTACAATTATTCAATAATGGTTTTAAAAAATTAATAGGAAAAACATTTTTAAAAATAATTTTTATTTTACTGGTCTAAAAAAGAAAATTAACTTTAAATTAAAGCCCTTGGTGTAAAAAGGATGCAAGCCACAATTTGTCGTGAAGTTACTGTTTTAGCTCAAAACATCTGTTAACAAGGATACTAGCCATATACCATTTTT